AGTCAAGGAGGCTTTGGAGGTGTCTGGATCCGCCCAGGCCTCCATCGAGGCTAGGGAATCGTTGGAAGTGCCAGCTGCAGTCCAGGGCTCTCTACAGGTGAAGACGTCCATTGCCATGCCGGGTTCAACCCATGCTTCCATCGAAGTCAAGGAGTCTGTGGAGGTGCCAGCCTCTTCCCAAGCCTCGACCGAGGTCAAGGAGCTTTCCGATGTGCCAGCTGCTGTCCAGGCATCATCTGAAGTCAAGGAGGCTTTGGAGGTGTCTGGATCCGCCCAGGCCTCCATCGAGGCTACGGAATCGTTGGAAGTGCCAGCTGCAGTCCAGGGCTCTCTACAGGTGAAGACGTCCATTGCCATGCCGGGTTCAACCCGTGCTTCCATCGAAGTCAAGGAGTCTGTGGAGGTGCCAGTCTCTTCCCAAGCCTCAACCGAGGTCAAGGAGCTTTCTGATGTGCCAGCTGCTGTCCAGGCATCATCTGAAGTCAAGGAGGCTTTGGAGGTGTCTGGATCAGCCCAGGCCTCCATCATTGCTACGGAATCGTTGGAAGTGCCAGCTGCAGTCCAGGGCTCTCTACAGGTGAAGACGTCCATTGCCATGCCGGGTTCAACCCATGCTTCCATCGAAGTCAAGGAGTCTGTGGAGGTGCCAGCCTCTTCCCAAGCCTCGACCGAGGTCAAGGAGCTTTCCGATGTGCCAGCTCCTGTCCAGGCATCATCTGAAGTCAAGGAGGCTTTGGAGGTGTCTGGATCCGCCCAGGCCTCCATCGAGGCTAGGGAATCGTTGGAAGTGCCAGCTGCAGTCCAGGGCTCTCTACAGGTGAAGACGTCCATTGCCATGCCGGGTTCAACCCATGCTTCCATCGAAGTCAAGGAGTCTGTGGAGGTGCCAGCCTCTTCCCAAGCCTCGACCGAGGTCAAGGAGCTTTCCGATGTGCCAGCTGCTGTCCAGGCATCATCTGAAGTCAAGGAGGCTTTGGAGGTGTCTGGATCCGCCCAGGCCTCCATCGAGGCTAGCGAATCGTTGGAAGTGCCAGCTGCAGTCCAGGGCTCTCTACAGGTGAAGACGTCCATTGCCATGCCGGGTTCAACCCGTGCTTCCATCGAAGTCAAGGAGTCTGTGGAGGTGCCAGCCTCTTCCCAAGCCTCAACCGAGGTCAAGGAGCTTTCTGATGTGCCAGCTGCTGTCCAGGCATCATCTGAAGTCAAGGAGGCTTTGGAGGTGTCTGGATCCGCCCAGGCCTCCATCAAGGCTAGGGAATCGTTGGAAGTGCCAGCTGCAGTCCAGGGCTCTCTACAGGTGAAGACGTCCATTGCCATGCCGGGTTCAACCCATGCTTCCATCGAAGTCAAGGAGTCTGTGGAGGTGCCAGCCTCTTCCCAAGCCTCGACCGAGGTCAAGGAGCTTTCCGATGTGCCAGCTGCTGTCCAGGCATCATCTGAAGTCAAGGAGGCTTTGGAGGTGTCTGGATCCGCCCAGGCCTCCATCGAGGCTAGCGAATCGTTGGAAGTGCCAGCTGCAGTCCAGGGCTCTCTACAGGTGAAGACGTCCATTGCCATGCCGGGTTCAACCCGTGCTTCCATCGAAGTCAAGGAGTCTGTGGAGGTGCCAGTCTCTTCCCAAGCCTCAACCGAGGTCAAGGAGCTTTCTGATGTGCCAGCTGCTGTCCAGGCATCATCTGAAGTCAAGGAGGCTTTGGAGGTGTCTGGATCAGCCCAGGCCTCCATCATTGCTACGGAATCGTTGGAAGTGCCAGCTGCAGTCCAGGGCTCTCTACAGGTGAAGACGTCCATTGCCATGCCGGGTTCAACCCATGCTTCCATCGAAGTCAAGGAGTCTGTGGAGGTGCCAGCCTCTTCCCAAGCCTCGACCGAGGTCAAGGAGCTTTCCGATGTGCCAGCTCCTGTCCAGGCATCATCTGAAGTCAAGGAGGCTTTGGAGGTGTCTGGATCAGCCCAGGCCTCCATCGAGGCTAGGGAATCGTTGGAAGTGCCAGCTGCAGTCCAGGGCTCTCTACAGGTGAAGACGTCCATTGCCATGCCGGGTTCAACCCATGCTTCCATCGAAGTCAAGGAGTCTGTGGAGGTGCCAGCCTCTTCCCAAGCCTCAACCGAGGTCAAGGAGCTTTCCGATGTGCCAGCTGCTGTCCAGGCATCATCTGAAGTCAAGGAGGCTTTGGAGGTGTCTGGATCAGCCCAGGCCTCCATCGAGGCTAGGGAATCGTTGGAAGTGCCAGCTGCAGTCCAGGGCTCTCTACAGGTGAAGACGTCCATTGCCATGCCGGGTTCAACCCATGCTTCCATCGAAGTCAAGGAGTCTGTGGAGGTGCCAGCCTCTTCCCAAGCCTCGACCGAGGTCAAGGAGCTTTCCGATGTGCCAGCTGCTGTCCAGGCATCATCTGAAGTCAAGGAGGCTTTGGAGGTGTCTGGATCCGCCCAGGCCTCCATCGAGGCTAGGGAATCGTTGGAAGTGCCAGCTGCAGTCCAGGGCTCTCTACAGGTGAAGACGTCCATTGCCATGCCGGGTTCAACCCATGCTTCCATCGAAGTCAAGGAGTCTGTGGAGGTGCCAGCCTCTTCCCAAGCCTCGACCGAGGTCAAGGAGCTTTCCGATGTGCCAGCTCCTGTCCAGGCATCATCTGAAGTCAAGGAGGCTTTGGAGGTGTCTGGATCAGCCCAGGCCTCCATCGAGGCTAGCGAATCGTTGGAAGTGCCAGCTGCAGTCCAGGGCTCTCTACAGGTGAAGACGTCCATTGCCATGCCGGGTTCAACCCATGCTGCTTCCATCGAAGTCAAGGAGTCTGTGGAGGTGCCAGCCTCTTCCCAAGCCTCAACCGAGGTCAAGGAGCTTTCCGATGTGCCAGCTGCTGTCCAGGCATCATCTGAAGTCAAGGAGGCTTTGGAGGTGTCTGGATCAGCCCAGGCCTCCATCAAGGCTAGGGAATCGTTGGAAGTGCCAGCTGCAGTCCAGGGCTCTCTACAGGTGAAGACGTCCATTGCCATGCCGGGTTCAACCCATGCTTCCATCGAAGTCAAGGAGTCTGTGGAGGTGCCAGCCTCTTCCCAAACCTCGACCGAGGTCAAGGAGCTTTCCGATGTGCCAGCTGCTGTCCAGGCATCATCTGAAGTCAAGGAGGCTTTGGAGGTGTCTGGATCCGCCCAGGCCTCCATCGAGGCTAGGGAATCGTTGGAAGTGCCAGCTGCAGTCCAGGGCTCTCTACAGGTGAAGACGTCCATTGCCATGCCGGGTTCAACCCATGCTTCCATCGAAGTCAAGGAGTCTGTGGAGGTGCCAGCCTCTTCCCAAGCCTCAACCGAGGTCAAGGAGCTTTCCGATGTGCCAGCTGCTGTCCAGGCATCATCTGAAGTCAAGGAGGCTTTGGAGGTGTCTGGATCAGCCCAGGCCTCCATCGAGGCTAGGGAATCGTTGGAAGTGCCAGCTGCAGTCCAGGGCTCTCTACAGGTGAAGACGTCCATTGCCATGCCGGGTTCAACCCATGCTGCTTCCATCGAAGTCAAGGAGTCTGTGGAGGTGCCAGCCTCTTCCCAAGCCTCAACCGAGGTCAAGGAGCTTTCTGATGTGCCAGCTGCTGTCCAGGCATCATCTGAAGTCAAGGAGGCTTTGGAGGTGTCTGGATCAGCCCAGGCCTCCATCGAGGCTAGGGAATCGTTGGAAGTGCCAGCTGCAGTCCAGGGCTCTCTACAGGTGAAGACGTCCAGTGCCATGCCGGGTTCAACCCATGCTTCCATCGAAGTCAAGGAGTCTGTGGAGGTGCCAGCCTCTTCCCAAGCCTCATCCGAGGCCAAGGAATATGTGTCAGATGCTGTCAAGTCTTCAACTGATGCAAAAGGATGTTTCCAGGAGCCAGGTGCGGCCCGCATATTCAAGAACATGATTTCCATGGCAAACAATGACGGGGCTTCGTCACATGAAGCAGGAATACAAGTTGGGGCGTCACCTGGTGGCTACACTGAAGCTGCAATCCAAGTTGGAGATTCCCTTGAAGCTTCTATCCTGAAATCTACCTCATGCCCTCCATCGTTTCAAGCGTTGGTTGGGCCTAAAAAGTCAACGACGGGAGATGGTTTATGCGGTGGCTTGGCTCAGGAGGCTCAGGTGGCCCAATCAATAACACAAGCCGCCAAGGTATCTGTAGAGAGTGCATCCACCATACAGAGCTCTATCGAGGCCAGGGCTTCTTCTCTGCGACCAGGCTCTATCAAGCCGAAGGGGTCCCTGGATGGCCATGCTCAAGCCTGGGATCCCGCTGAGGTGAAGGAGCCTGCAGAGGTTGTATCCAAGTCCTCAATCATTGAGCTCAAAAGAGGGACGGAGGAGCCACAAGCGGGTCTAGTTCCTGCCGAGGCATCTATAGAGCTGTCGGTGTCTCCAGTAGAGGCTGCACAAGCCGCCAACCAGGCATCTACAGAGCTTTCGGCGGTGTCTACGGAGGCTGAGCAAGCCGCCAACCAGGCATCTTCAGAGCTTTCGGCGGTCTCTATGGAGGCTGCACAAGCCGCCAACCAGGCATCTACAGAGCTGTCGGCTGTCTCTCCGGAGGCTGCACCAGCTGCCCAGGCGTCTACAGAGCTTTCGGCGGTCTCTCCGGAGGCTGCACCAGCCGCCCAGGCATCTACAGAGATCTTGGTCGACACTCCAGAGGCTGCACCAGCTGCCCAGGCATCTACAGAGCTTTCGGCGGTCTCTCCGGAGGCTGCACCAGCCGCCCAGGCATCTACAGAGATCTTGGTCGACACTCCAGAGGCTGCACCAGCTGCCCAGGCATCTACAGAGCTGTCGGTGGTCTCTCCGGAGGCTGCACCAGCTGCCCAGGCATCCACAGAGCTGTCGGCGGTCTCTCCGGAGGCTGCACCAGCTGCCCAGGCATCCACAGAGCTGTCGGCGGTCTCCAGGAGGCTGCACCAGCCGCCCAGGCATCTTCAGAGCTGTCGGCGGTCTCTATGGAGGCTGCACCAGCCGCCCAGGCATCTACAGAGCTGTCGGCGGTCTCTCCGGAGGCTGCACCAGCTGCCCAGGCATCCACAGAGCTGTCGGCGGTCTCTCCGGAGGCTGCACCAGCTGCCCAGGCATCTACAGAGATCTTGGTCGACACTCCAGAGGCTGCACCAGCTGCCCAGGCATCTACAGAGATGTTGGCGGTCACTCCAGAGGCTGCACCAGCTGCCCAGGCATCTACAGAGCTGTCGGCGGTCTCTCCGGAGGCTGCACCAGCTGCCCAGGCATCTACAGAGCTGTCGGCGGTCTCTCCGGAGGCTGCACCAGCTGCCCAGGCATCTACAGAGCTTTTGGCGGTCTCTCCAGAGGCTGCACCAGCTGCCCAGGCATCTACAGAGCTGTTGGCGGTCTCTCCAGAGGCTGCACCAGCTGCCCAGGCATCTACAGAGATGTTGGTCGACTCTCCAGAGGCTGCACCAGCTGCCCAGGCATCTACAGAGCTGTTGGTCGACACTCCGGAGGCTGCACCAGCTGCCCAGGCATCTACAGAGCTGTCGGCGGTCTCTCCAGAGGCTGCACCAGCTGCCCAGGCATCTACAGAGCTGTCGGCAGTCTCTCCGGAGGCTGCACCAGCTGCCCAGGCATCTACAGAGCTGTTGGCGGTCTCTGCAGAGGCTGCACCAGCTGCCCAGGCGTCTACAGAGCTTTTGGCGGTCTCTCCGGAGGCTGCATCAGCTGCCCAGGCATCTACAGAGCTGTCGGTCCCTACAGAGGCTGCACCAACTGCCCAGGCATCTACAGAGCTGTCGGCAGTCTCTCCGGAGGCTGCACCAGCTGCCCAGGCATCCACAGAGCTGTTGGCGGCTCTTTGCAGAGGCTGCACCAGCTGCCCAGGCGTCTACAGAGCTCTTTGGCGGTCTCTCCGGAGGCTGCATCAGCTGCCCAGGCATCTACAGAGCTGTCGGCGGTCCCTACAGAGGCTGCACCAGCTGCCCAGGCATCTACAGAACTGTCGGCAGTCTCTCAGGAGGCTGCACCAGCTGCCCAGGCATCTACAGAGCTGTCGGCGTCCCTCCAGAGGCTGCACCAGCTGCCCAGGCGTCTACAGAGCTTTGGCGGTCTATCCGGAGGGTGCATCAGCTGCCCAGGCATCTACAGAGCTGTGGGCGGTCCCTACAGAGGCTGCACCAGCTGCCCAGGCATCTACAGAGCTGTCGGCAGTCTCTACAGAGGCTGCACCAGCTGCCCAGGCATCCACAGAGCTGTCGGCAGTCTCTTCGGAGGCTGCACCAGCTGCCCAGGCATCTACAGAGCTGTCGGCGGTCTCTCGGAGGCTGCACCAGCTGCCCAGGCATCTACAGAGCTGTCGGCGGTCTCTCAGAGGCTGCATCAACCAACCGGGCATCTACAGAGCTGTTGGCAGTCCCTACAGAGGCTGCACTAACTGCCCAGGCATCTACAGAACTGTCGGCAGTCTCTCCGGAGGCTGCACAACTGCCCAGGCATCTACAGAGCTGTCGGCAGTCTCTCCAGAGGCTGCACCAACTGCCCAGGCATCTACAGAACTGTCGGCAGTCTCTCCGGAGGCTGCACCAGCTGCCCAGGCATCTACAGAGCTGTCGGTTCCTCCAGAGGCTGCATCAGCTGCCCAGGCATCTACAGAGCTGTTGGCAGTCCCTCCAGAGGCTGCACCAGCTGCCCAGGCATCTACAGAGCTGTCGGCAGTCCCTACAGAGGCTGCACCAGCTGACCAGGCATCTACAGAGCTGTCGGCGGTCTCTCCAGAGGCTGCACCAACTGCCCAGGCATCTACAGAACTGTCGGCAGTCTCTCTGGAGGCTGCACCAGCTGCCCAGGCATCTACAGAGCTGTCGGTCCCTACAGAGGCTGCATCAGCTGCCCAGGCATCTACAGAGCTGTCGGCAGTCCCTACAGAGGCTGCACCAGCTGCCCAGGCATCTACAGAGCTGTCGGCAGTCTCTCCGGAGGCTGCATCAGCTGCCCAGGCATCTACAGAACTGTCGGCAGTCTCTCCAGAGGCTGCACCAACTGCCCAGGCATCTACAGAGCTGTCGGCAGTCTCTACGGAGGCTGCACCAGCTGCCCAGGCATCTACAGAACTGTCGGATCCCTCCAGAGGCTGCATCAGCTACCCAGGCATCTACAGAGCTGTCGGCAGTCCCTACAGAGGCTGCACCAGCTGCCCAGGCATCTACAGAGCTCTTGGTAGACTCTCCAGAGGCTGCATCAGCCAACCAGGCATCTACAGAGCTGTCGGCGGTCTCTCCAGAGGCTGCACCAGCTGCCCAGGCATCTACAGAGCTGTCGGCAGTCTCTTCAGAGGCTGCACCAGCTGCCCAGGCTTCTACAGAGTTGTCGGCGGTCTCTACAGAGGCTGCACCAGTTGCCCAGGCATCTACAGAGCTGTCGGCAGTCCCTACAGAGGCTGCATCAGCCAACCAGGCATCTACAGAGCTGTCGGCGGTCTCTCCAGAGGCTGCACCAGCTGCCCAGGCATCTACAGAGCTGTCGGCGGTCTCTCCAGAGGCTGCATCAGCCAACCAGGCATCTACAGAGCTGTCGGCGGTCTCTCCAGAGGCTGCACCAGCTGCCCAGGCATCTACAGAGCTGTCGGCAGTCTCTTCAGAGGCTGCACCAGCTGCCCAGGCTTCTACAGAGTTGTCGGCGGTCTCTCCAGAGGCTGCACCAGTTGCCCAGGCATCTACAGAGCTGTTGGTAGACTCTCCAGAGGCTGCATCAGCCAACCAGGCATCTACAGAGCTGTCGGCGGTCTCTCCAGAGGCTGCACCAGCTGCCCAGGCATCTACAGAGCTGTCGGCAGTCTCTTCGGAGGCTGCACCAGCTGCCCAGGCTTCTACAGAGTTGTCGGCGGTCTCTCCGGAGGCTGCACCAGTTGCCCAGGCATCTACAGAGCTGTCAGCGGTCCCTACAGAGGCTGCATCAGCCAACCAGGCATCTACAGAGCTGTCGGCGGTCTCTCCGGAGGCTGCACAAGCCGCCAACCAGGCATCTACAGAGCTGTCGGCGGTCTCTCCGGAGGCTGCATCAGCCAACCAGGCATCTACAGAGCTGTCGGTGTCTCCAGTAGAGGCTGCACCAGCCGCCAACCAGGCGTCTACAGAGCTTTCGATACCGCTGCAGTCACCAACACCAGCTCAGGCCTCTTCCGAGCATGATAAGTCTCAAGGGTTCTCTTCACTGGCAAGTGGCAACGAACTACATGATCATGTTGTGTCTCCCCTCGACGCCGTTGTCCCGGTTGGCTCTCCGGTGGTCCCAGCTGGCGGGGTGGGTCAGCGCGTTGCTGAAGCCGCCATCCAAGTTGGAGATTCCCTTGAAGCATCCACACTGCAGGTCAGTTGTGATCGGCTTTTGCGACTCGCCTTCCACCCCTCCGCATCGTTGTCAGGGCAGTTTTACCCTTTTGCATCGAGAAGGGAGTGGAACGCTGTGGAGGGACTGGTGCAGATTGCACGTGGTCGCACGGGTGCTGCAATGAACCCTGTGCAGCATTTGGCAGAAGCTATCCAGAACACCGCCTCGTCGGCTGCACAGTGCTGTGCAGCGGCTTCAGCTCTTGAGGTCAATTACCACCGTCTTGCACAGCTGGTAGATGCATCCCGTGACATTGCTGCCACGGCAAGGGATGCCTGCATGGCAGCTTCTGGGGAAGAGGCCGGGTACGGCTGCCTGAGGCAGCTGTTGGATACCTCAGCCGAAGCCGCTGTACAGGTTGGAAGGTCTCTGGAGGTCCCTCAGGAGCACTGTGATGCAGGAATTCAAGTTAGCGATTCCTTAGAGGCCCCGCCGATAGCGGTACCCAAGGGCCCAGCTGGAAATCAGCGTAGCACCACCACCCCTCCAAGGAAGCCACCGGTACCTTCACGAACTAACGCTACGGCTGCTAGTTCTTCACCTGCCAGGGGAAAGCCTGCTAACCCATCCACATCCACATCCACATCCACATCCACATCCACATCCACATCCACATCCACATCCACAAGCAGCGGTGTGAGAAAGCCAGCTGCATCACCGACCAACACCAACGCCAAAACCAAGACCAAACCTGGCACCAACACCAACACCAACACCAACAGCAGCCCCACAGACAAGGCAAGCCCCACTCAACCGGGTCGCCAGTCTCCTGCCCGCCGTACTGGTACGGCAGCAGCTCCAGCAGGCGGCAGCCGGCAGGCCGTCAGCCCCAAACCACGGGCTGCCACAGCAGCCAGCACCACACGTAAGGGTGAAGCCACAGCACCTGCTGGCACTAATTCTCGGCAGACTGCTGGCTCACGCCTTAGTCAGTCTCTTGGTGCCAGCACTTCTGCGGCAGTGGGGCTCAGTAAGGGGACAGGTACACGGGCAAGCACCACTGTTGCAGCCCCCGGAGCTGCTGCCCGACGGGCAAAGCAGCAGGAGCAAGAGCAAGAGGATGGAAAGAAGGATCAGTCGGCACCGCAGGCTGCAGGCCGTGGTTCGATGCCCCTCAGAGCTAATGGGCCAGCTGCACTGCTCAGGGCCGGTATCCGCCAAGGGAGCGATTCACCACCACGATCCTCATTCTTCATGCCCATTCCAACTACAGCGGTGGTTAAGCCCCCAGCAGGCCAGCCCGGCCCAGCTCAGCTCAGCAGATCCGCGAGCCGTCCCGCTGCTCCCAAAACACAGCCGACGAGCCCTGCCCTGCTGCTGGCAGCCACGATAGTCGCAGAGCAGCAGACCGCAGAAACCTCCACCGGTCCACGCACGGCATCATTTGTCGTGCCGCCACCGCGCACATCGCTCATGGCTGGGCAGCAGCAACAGCAGCAGCAGCAGCAACAGCAGCAGCAGCAGCAGAAGCCGGCTCCACCGTCACGCACGACTTCGCGACGGTCGGCTGTTCAATCCCCGTTGCCGTCCCCATCCAGTCCCCGGTCTTCCTTCTTCATGGTCCTCCCAGAATCCGTGCAGGCTCAGCCGTCTCAGGTGTTTCACCAGCAGACTCAATCCGAGGAAGCAGATGCGTCACCAATCTCTGTGCAACAGCAACACATCAGCACCCTGCCCGCTGGGGTGTCGCCGCCGTCACCTGCCGCGTACAGCAGCGGCAGAAGCACCAGCGGCAGAAGCACCAGCGGCAGTGGTGCTATCGGCAGAAGCACCAGCGGCAGTGGTGCTATCGGTAGTGGGTTCATGGTGGCCTCAGGCCCTGGTGCACCTCAACCACAGTCTGCGCTTCCCCCAGGCGGCCCCTTGGAGCACTCCGTACCCGAGGAGGATCTTGAGGGTGACGGGAATGGTGGTGAGGGTACCAGAAGTGTGAGGCCACCGTTGCCGCTGCCGCTGACACCACCGTCCGAGCAGCCAGAGCCGCCATCGCCGCTGCAGCAGCAGCAGCAGCAGCAGCAGCAACCAGTCGACCCTATCCTGTCTTTAATTCAACTGCAATCTCGGCGCTGGCGTGGTACTTCCATAATTAGCAACTCTGCTGCTGAGTTATCCGAGCCGGAGGCTGCACCCGCTGATGCAGTCGGCAGGGGTGCCAAGGCCGTGCCACCGCCGCTGCCGCTATCATGGGCGCCATGGTCGCAGCAGCCAGAGCTGCAGCAGCCTGACCCGAGTCACTTGCTGAGCCGCCTGCAGTCGTCCCGTCGTTGGAGGAACTCATCTATAGCTAGCAACTCTGCCGCTGGGTTGTCTGAGCCGGAGGATGAAACGACTGATGATGCAGTCGGTGAGGTTGCCAAGGCCATGCCACCGCCACTGTCACTACCGCGGGCCCCGGCACGGTCACAGCAGCCAGAGCCGCTGCAGCAGCAGCAACAACAACAACCAACCCCAACTCTGGGCGACAGTCGTATGCATTCCCGGCGCTGGCGTAGTTCCTCGATCG